CATTACAGTTTTCCTGTGTTTCCAAATTAGGGTGGTTCTGGAGATATGTTCGCACAACAATATCAATAGTGATGTAAGCATAAAATCATTTATTTTCAGGAGAGAAATGTTATCCATCTAAACACGGTCTCCACAAGGAAAAAAACATGCTAAAAATGATCCTGTTCTTCTTGCCTCTTTATTTCACTTTTGAAGATTACTGGCTCTATTCATTTTAAGTTAACAAGAAAAACTAAAACAAAAAATCTCACTAATATTCTGCTTTTCAATACTATTCTTTAAATTTTATTAAAATTGTTTTTATACAATATATTTTGATTATATTTTCCCTCCTACAACATCTCTCAGATCCTCCCTATATCCATACCCACCTAATTTTATGTTCCCTTTCTCTGGCTCTCTCTCTCTCTCTCTCTCTCTCTCTCTCTCTCTCTCTCTCTCTCTCTCTCTCTCTCTCTCTCTCTCTCTCTCTCTCTGTCTCTGTCTCTCTCTCAATGCAAAGACCAAGAAAGAAGAATAGAAACTTCGAAGGCAAGAAAAAAAAAACACTAACTCAAAAATCTAAACAAACAGGCAAGAACTAATAGGCCAAAAAAAAAAGCCAAAATAAAACAAAATGAAACCCACTGCTCTTTAACACGCAGACCCTGTATCCATATATATCAATACATATGTCAATACAATATTAAAACAAATAATTTACTCTTTTGTTTAAGAGCACACTCTAAGAAGAACAGGACTGCAATGTACCATAAATATCACTTACTGAAGAGCATTATTCCTTTAAAAAATGATACGTGGGGACCGGAGAGAGAGCTCAGAGGTTAAGATCACTGACTGCTCTTTGAGAGGACCTGAGTTCAGTTCACAGCAACCACATGATGGCTCATAACCATCTATAATGAAATCTGGTGCCCTCTTCTGCCATGCAGGCATGCATACATAGAGAATACTGTATGCATAATAAATAAATAAATCTTTTAAAAAATGATGCATGGTACAGGATGATTTCTCCGTCTCTTCACCTAATAAATGCATATTCCAGTTACACATGCTATTGACTAAGTCTTATTAATTAATTTCTCCAAAAACATGAATGGATTGCTATTAGATATATTAATTTTTTTACCTTGTGAACTTAAGTGCTAGACCATTATGATGTGTGTGATAATTGGAGAATCTAAAGCCTTATTAGGCACAGTGAGGTCTTACATGCCATCGTCTTTGATCATCTAATATTCAAAATGTGCTTGTGGCTTTTGTACTTGTTTGAGCTGTCGTTCTGTTAATTCCCTTTTGGATTAAATAGGTGCTAATAAAACCCCCAAGCACATTTTGTTTTTCATCATAAATGTAAATCGGAGATTTGTTTAATATTCTAAACATTTGCCAACATGAGAAAACATATTTAAAGAAAACGTTTGCATGATCAGTTGATTTTTTTCCAGTGGCTGGAAAAGGACAGCTACTTGATTGAAAATACTGGATTCCTGCTAAGGTAAAACTTTATTGTCATTCTTTATATTTAAAAGAAATATATAGGAATAAGGAATAGAAAGGTAATTATATTTTCCTGGTGCTACTTTTGCCTTGAAATTCATGAGGTCAGATCAAATGCTGCTGAAGCAGAATAAGAATGAGCACTAAATTCAGCTGTGCATTGCTTCCCACCTTCTCATTAAATAATACTCCTGCCACATGCGATGCCCAGAATTAATTTAAAGAGGCTAACATTTTACTATAAACAAGAGGCAGTAGCAATATCTTTGATATACCCAAACTTAAGTTTAATACAAATGACTGATCTTCCCTCATGCTGAGCCAAAATGAAATGAATAAAGAGATTAGCATCTCATTATATCAGAAAATGTAAGCAAACTTAATCTCCCAAAAAACTTCACTCATTTCAAAAGCTTGAGAACCACCCTGTAGCCCTGCTTATGTGAATTGTTTCTTGTTTTATACATGACCCTAGCATAGAACAATACAAGGATCAAACTTGGAGAGCTGAAATTAAGATAGAGTGGTTTAGTCAAATAGTCACATATTTACATAAACCTCTCTGAGATCCTGGGGTCAACACCAGGACAATCACAGAATCCCTACTAACATACCCATTCATAATATTGGAGTGTAATTTTACTCATCAGTGAATTATTTCCGAGGTCAGTTTAGATACCAACTGCTAATCATGCTATTTGATTTTAATGCTCTCTGCTTTTGAGTAAAGCAGACAAACTCTTTCTCCTCCTTAGATGCAACTGCATACTATTAAATATCCACGTCTTGCCAGGTGGTGGTGGCACACACTTTTAATCCCAGCAATTTTGAGGCAGAGGTAGGTAGATATCATAGTTCAAGACCAGCCTGGTCTGTGAAGTGAGTTCTAGGAAAACCAGGACCACACAGAGAAACTCTGTCTCAAAAAGCCAAATGGAAAAAATCCATGTCCTTTCTAAAATTATATATGACTGAATTATACATAAAACATGTGATTCAGCAAGTATAATAACTAGAGTTGCATTTTGTGAACAATGACAATCATTTGTTCCAAGATGAATTAGAGAGGGGAAAAATATAGAAGACAATGGGGAGTAATTCATGAGTAATTTATACTAAACCATTTCGAAGTGGATAAAATTTAGAAGTAAAGGTTCAGCACTGACAAGTGAGAGAAACATTTCTAATCATTAGCAAACCCATCAAAATGGACACATAGGAAGTGTTTACTGTGCCCACTGTTCTTTGTAAGCAAAGTGATCCAGACTTAAAGAAGAATTTATATATATACATATATATGTGCATTTTAATTATTTAATTTTCTGAGAGTATAATTTAGTTACATCATTTTGCCCTTCACTTTCCTTCTTCCAAATCCTCTTTGCTCTCTTTTTTCAAATTCATAGCCTCTTTTACAAATAATTGTTTTTTGAACATAATTAACTGGTAAGCATTGTGAATGAAGCAAAAAACACCAACTGAAATAATATGGGGAAATTAGAGAATTAGAGAAAATGACAGATTGAAAACTTGGAGGAATACATTGCAAGAAAAATAAAGCCCAATGATAAACAATGAAGTTCCAAGCACATGTGAAAGAGTACAAGAAATCAAGTCAGAGTTGTCAGGGGTCAAATGGAGAAATAAGGAACAGGAGAAAACCCACAAAGATGATAAAGAAAGAAACAGAATGTGAATGAACTCTGAGAAAGGGAGAAGAATGTTGTTTTTTCTGCACATGTATTTGCAATGACAATCATTTTCTTTTCTTTTCGTCAGTTGAATCAAGCAAATTTAGAAACTGCAAAGAATTAAGGCTTGTATCTTAGCCTACACTAACAAGCCTTCACCATCTCAACTGACTGGAATAAAACACTCGTTCGTTTGCAGTATGGTTTTTTTTCAGACTTCTCCCCTTTGAACTTAAACTTTACAGAGAAATGTCCACTTGTTGCACCTCTACACTCAATTGCTTGTATCAGTACAATTTTAGAGTCACCGAAACAAACACAGAAAGAACCATATTAGAATATATCTTCTTCATGCCCATTTCTTGCTTTGTTTTATGAGTTATGCATGTAGGTGCTCACCGAGTGTTGTATAGTTAGTTTTCAAGAAGTTATGCATGTAGATTCTCAAAGATTGTTGTATACTTTTCATGAAGTTATGCATGTGGGTGCTCAAACACATACTATTTTAGGTGACTTATGTTTTAACATTTACTAGCAATTCATTGCTTTTTTATTTCAAAATTTCTTACAACTGCAACTGTATCACAATATTGTTTTTAGTTAAAGTCCTATATGCCAGTGATTTGTTTTAATAAACATTAATCTGTTTTTAAGGCTATACTCTAACAATGGAGTATGTACAATCTCACAAAATATGACTGCTTATCAAATTGATTTTTTAATTATGACATCATAAATTATGACACAAAATCAGATTATTTAAGACATTATTTAAGAGATGTTTCATTATTTTGTATAAAAATGGATCTCCATGTACACATCTCTGGACTGTATATACTCTACTCTGAAGAAAAGTATTCAGATGAAAATTGAATCATAGATTTTTCTAACATAAATGTAACTCTTACTAAGACAAAAATTACAGGTGCAGAGGAAGAATGTTTTGATAAACAATAGCATAGTTTGTTGTGACTAAATAAAAATTTCAATAATTAATGAAACACTAAAATTGTCCTTATCTTTAAACAGTGAATACACATTTCCCCTATCACTTGGCAATGACAACCAAGAAGTTAACTAATTGAATATTTAAGATGAATGATAATTTCCTCAGTTATTAAAGAACCATGTTAGAATATATCTTCTTCATGCCCATTTCTTGCTTTGTTTTATGAGTTAAGATCATCATAATTTTTACATGTACTGATTAAAGGTAAAATTATGCCTAAATTTTGTGGAAAAGATATCATTTGGGTATCAGTCTGAGATATAAGATTAAGCATATTAAAATAAACCAAAGGCAAATGCACTTGGAAAGTAATAAGAATTTAGGCACAGGATGTATATGTAGGGTTTGGTTGGTCAGAATATAATTAGGATGATGCCTGTAAGTGCAGTTAAGGTAAAGATTTTATTTGAGATCCTGACAACATGTTTGGAGGTTAGAATGCATGTGTGCAATAAAACAATGTGACAGGAACCACCAATTAAATAATTCAGAAAGGAATTAAGAAACAAAAAGGAAGTATGTTATAGGAATTGAAGTAGAGAAACTATTTCAAATGCAGTTTTCTCTGTGATGGTACAAAGAAGGGGAAAAATCAAATATTCTAGCAAAACGTTGAGTCACTACCAACAAAAACAACGAACTAACACAAAGAATGATGGGCATAGCTGTGAAATTTGGACACGAGTCATAAAATTTCAGTTATGTACAAGCATGGAATGAAATGGAGATGAAAATATAAAGGAACTGAGTCTTCGTGGGGATTAGGACAAACAGGGTTAACAGGGTTGTTTTTAGCTATGGTGCACTGGTTATGGCAGACTTTGTTCTCATGCGGATTTAAGGTGTGAAACGGGAGAAAAGGCATGCATAACACATCACATGTTTTACTCTAAAGATCAGGAACTGATGGACACCAAGAACAGCTCAGTAGTGACAGAATTCATCCTCCTTGGCCTGACCCAATCTCAAGATACTCAACTCCTGGTCTTTGCCCTACTTTCTGTCTTCTATCTAATCATTCTCCCTGGAAATTTTCTTATCATTTTCACCATTAGATGGGACCCTGGGCTCGCAGCCCCACTTTACTTCTTCCTGGGAAACCTGGCCTTTCTGGATGCCTCCTACTCCTTCATTGTAGCTCCTAGGATGCTTGTGGACTTCTTCTGTGAGAAAAAAGTCATTTCTTACAAAGGCTGCATCACTCAGCTGTTCTTTTTGCACTTTCTTGGAGCGGGAGAAATGTTCCTTCTTGTTGTGATGGCCTTTGATCGTTACATCGCTATATGCCGTCCTTTGTACTACTCCACCCTCATGAACCCTAGGGTCTGCTACGCCTTGCTGTTGGCTCTATGGCTTGGGGGTTTCGCTCATTCCATTGTACAAGTGGCTCTTATCGTGAACTTGCCCTTTTGTGGCCCAAACCAGCTGGATAACTTTTTCTGCGATGTCCCACAGGTCATTAAGCTAGCCTGCACCGATACCTTTGCAGTGGAGCTCCTGATGGTCTCCAACAGCGGGCTGCTCACCCTCCTATGCTTCTTGGGGCTTCTGGCCTCCTATGCTGTTATCCTTTACCACGTCAAAGGACATTCTTCTGAAGGGAAAAGCAAAGCTATCTCTACGTGCACCACCCACATAATCATTGTGTTCCTCATGTTTGGGCCAGCCATTTTTATCTACACCCGCCCCTTCCAGGCTCTCCAAGCTGACAAAGTTGTTTCTCTCTTTCACACAGTCATCTTTCCTCTCATGAATCCTGTCATCTACACTCTTCGCAACCAGGAAGTGAAAACGTCTATGAGGAGGTTGTTAAATCGCTATGTGGTTTGCTGACTGGATAGAAGGAAAGGAAAACAAGAAAGTGAGAAAATGCTGTTTAAATAAATCAAACTGTGTGTTTATGAATACATCGAATCAGTTCCTTAGCAAATACTGTGTTATATGCTGCTTTTCTAATGCTATTCTGGGCACATGGATAAGACAGGCACAATTCTAGGTCTCCCAGGGTTATATTCGAGTGATGTGTTTGAAGTCAAGCGCAACTATTAAACTAGAAAAGCCTCACCAGAACCAGTGCTCTGGTATTTACAGAATAGTATTATGCTAGCTATAGACCAGGGAGATGACCTGAGCTCTGTTTGTAAAGCAGGTTCATGAATGATATTTGACTGAAATCAAGGGTATTTAGCGGAAACAAAGCACAATTATAAAACAAAATAAGCATCATGGGAAAGCACAGGAACTCAAAGATTTGAATATTTAGGCAAATTTGAAAAACATAGATGGATTAGAATAATTACAAGATAGTTAAGAAGTACCAGAATTTAACTTAGATAAATAAGAACAAAATATGTTAGATTTTAGAATATTTCACATAACTTTAATTATTGAAATTTTAAAATGATACAATTGAAATATATAAAGATTATCCAATGTTTTATATTTTATTTAAGACAAATCCCGAAAATTCTGTATAAAAGACTATGTATGGATAATAAAATATTAATTGGAATGTTACCTGTATGTGTTTATTTTTCTTGAACACAATAATTGCAATATTTATCAGAATATATCATAAAACAGCTTATGTATCTTAAAACTTCACTTTTATTTCCACTATATTTATGTTGTAGTAAAATTAGTTTTTTTCTATTACTTGAAGAATTTCATTGTTTTACTAGCAATTATTTTGAATATCAAGACAATTTTGAACAGTAGGAACATCTTAGCAATAATGATTCTTCTGTTCATGAATTAATATTACTCCTTTGGTCTAACATGTGAATTCTAGGATTCAGATTATTGGGCTAGCTAGTATATGCCTTTACTTGTTAAGAAATCTCTCGAGCTTATGGTTTATAATTTTTTTCATTTCTATTTTATATAACTCATTCACAGTTCTGTCAATTTAAGGTATTTCATTCTAGTTTAATTAACAGTTATTCAAACGATAATACTAATTCCTGAGAGAAAAATATATTTACATCATTAATATATATACATATATATAGTTTCCTTTAAAAATATAGTTTAGAGTTTAAAAATATATAGTTTATTTTAAAATAGAGTTTCTTTAAATATGTATGTATGTATAATTTGCTATACCATCCAACAACCTTATTACCAAGCGTGCATTGAATGGAAATGAAATTAAGATTCACAGTTAATTACTATCTCATTTTTATTATAGTACTGCTTAAAATAGCGAGGACATGGAAACCACATAGAACACACACACACACACACACACACACACACACACGTGTCTGTTTGTACCCCACAAATGACATTACATTTTATGTCAGTTATAAACAGACTCAGTAGTAGCTCAGTTGTTAGAATGCTTTCCTGATATACACAAATCCCTAGATTTAATCTCTAGCATCACAAAACTACAAAAAATAAAATAAAAATTAAATATCCAAGACTGAGGCAGAGTGAGAACAACATCTTGTTTTAGAAACAAATGTGGAAACATATTTATCGTTTATCTGAACCCTCAATTTCTTGTGCTTTTTCAAGAAAGTTGCAATTGTTCAAAGGCCATGGAGAAACTGCCAATGAGGTGAAAGACAAAACAAGTGTATCTGCAAGCTGCTTTTCAATTTGGCACATTCCTGTAATTTGGGGACACTTGCGAGAGAAGCTGAGCCAGGAGAATCCCAGGAAGTTTGAAGACAGTGAGCTGCATAAGGATACCCAGTCTCAAAACATAAATTATCAAAAAACTCATCTTAAATCATTATTAGATTTTCAAAGTTTACTTATTTAACTACATTATTGAACCACAAAGCCATAGAGTCACCATCTATGCTGTCTTGTTGGAAATGTTTTGTAATATGTTTTGTTTGTTTTATTATGTTAATGTGTCTGTTTTGTGAAGGTCAGAGGGCCACATTCTAGAGTCTTTTCATCTACCACATGCCAGGGATCCATCTCAAGTGGTCAGGCTTAGAGACAAATGTTTATATCCACTGAGCCATCTCATCAGCCCATCCCATGCTGTCTTAATGTTGTTGGATCTTTGTGAAGATATGCATGAATTTTTAAGTTATAAATTTTGGATTTAATTAATCCCAAAGATTCATTAATTTATCTAGAACTATTTTTCCTTTTCATCAATTTATTTTTTATAAATTTTATTTAAATTAGAAACAATCTTATTTTACATATCAATCCCAGTTCCCTCTCCTTCTCATCATCCCATGGCCCCCACCAACACTCCAACACTCTCGCGCTTCTCTCTCTCTCTCTCTCTCTCTCTCCCTCTCCTCTCTCTCTCTCTCTCTCTCTCTGTCTCTGTAATGTCTGGCTGTTGGTCTCTGTGTTTGTTCCCATCTGCTGCAGGCGGGAGCCTCTCTGATGATGATAAGAACTAGTCTCTGAGTACAGGAGACTACCATTAGGGGTTATTTTATTGGTACTTTTCTTTTTAGACCAGCTGCATCTCATTTTACTCTCTGGGCTATATAGTCTCTGGTTCTTGGTCATCTTCATAGTGTCAGGTATGGATTCCATCTCATGGAGTGGGCCTTATATCAAATCAGACATTTGTTGGCTACATACACAAGCTTGCTGTAACCTTTGTGCTAGCATATTTCATAGGTAAGACAGATTGTAGAACAAAGGTTTTGTGGCCATAATCACAGCTTTACAAAATAGTCTTACTACAGATTATTTGTTGCTCAAGGATAATCTTTGTTGTCAACAACTTTTTGGTATGTGTTGCTTTAATGTGTCAGATTTTCCCCATACTATTTATGGTCAAATTAAAATTTTCAATGAAGAGACAAAATCTCTCAAGTAAGTGATCTTCAAATGGCCATCATGGTTAAATGGTGTTCTCCTTTCCTCAGTCTATTTTTAGCTATTCTTATAATTCTCATAAGCTTGCTTGTATTTATTTGACTATCTATAGATGCAATGCATTCAATCTTGGCCTATATTACACCCACTATTTTCTTAATTTTTATATGGGAGCAGATGTTGGGAGCATGAAGGTCCTTGTGTCCACAGGTCTTCAGGGAAACCAGGAATATTAGACACTCAGGACTGTCCTTTCAAAGAAAAGGACATAGTACCTGTTTGTCCCACGCCAAAGTTGGGAATTGAAAATGAGTAAAACCTTGGTGATTCGTATCATCTGTATGGCCGGGCCACCTCAAGCTCTTACAACCAAGACCAGAAGTTGCTAGTACTGTAAATGACCTTTTCATTACCTGTTTATCCAGGGGCTCCCCAATGAGGACCAGGGGTAGCTAATAGCCCAGATGACTTATATGCTAAATGATGAAGCCAGATCCTTAAGCTAATACAGACAGCCTATTGTCAGAACCCATCTTCTTGGAAGGAATGACATATACCTTGAGTTGAGTTTTGATGTAATTATGCTTTCTTATGTACCAGGGATTGTATTATACTAGGAAACATTTTTCTAAATTGCCCTGTGTTTAAATATGCTGGCAATAAACCACCTGGCATCAAACTCCTGAAGTTTGATAGAGACCAACTAAGTCAAGCTAAACTGAGGTTTTATTTTTGCCTCTTTGTGGATTATTTCCCTGTCTGCCATGACATCTGCAGGGACTCCCAGACACCCAACTAGTGTTCTGTACAGAAAGTCTTCTACTGTGACAGTGCATTCAAGACTGTCAAGTTAAGTGTGCTTGGTTTTATTATGAGGTCCTCGACGCTTTTGGAGTTCAGTTTTATGTAAGGTGATAAGTATGGATCTATTTGCATTCTTCTAAATGACGCCATCCCATTTGACCAGCACCATGTGTTGAGGATGTTGTCTTTTGTCCAGTGTGTATTTCTGGCTTCTTTATCAAAACTCAGGAGTTCACAGGTGTGTGTATTTATGCCTTTAATTCAATTCCATTGATCAACGTATGTGTTTTAATGCCAATACCATGCTGTTTTATTAGTATACCTTTGTACTAAAACCTTAAATCATAAATAGTGAGACCTGCCGGGCAGTGGTGGCGCACGCCTTTAATCCCAGCACTCGGGAGGCAGAGGCAGGCGGATCTCTGTGAGTTCGAGGCTGGGCTGGACTGACAGCCTCCAAAACAATACAGAGAAACCCTGTCTTGTAAAAACCAAAAAAAAAAAAAATAGTGAGACCTCCAGCAGTTCCTTCATTGTTCAGGATTGTTTTAGCTATCCTGGGTTTTCAGTTTGTCCAAATGAAGTGGAGAATTGTCTTTGCAAGATCTGTGAAAAATTGTGTTGAAATTATGATGGGGATTGCATTGACTCTGTAGATTGCTTTTGGCAGGATGACCATTTTTACTATGTTAATCCTGTTGATACATGAGCATGGGAGATCTTTCCATCTTCCGATATCTTTCTCAATTTCTTTCTTCAAAGACTTGAAGTTCTTTTTAATTGTTTATTCAAATATCATATATTATACCCTGCTCACAGTTTCTACTCCTTCCTCTCCTCCCAGTCACTAACCACTCCCCAGACCCCCCCCACACACACACTGCAGTCACTCCTCCATTTCTATTCAGACAAGAGCAGGCCTCTCATGGATATCAACCAAACAGGGTCTATCAAGCTGCAGTAAGACGAGGCTCATCCCCTACCTCGTATTAAGGCTGGATAAGGCAATCCAGTGTGAGCAGAAAGGTGACACCAAAAGTAGACAAACTAGTCAGAGACAAGCCCTGTCCCCACTGTTAGGAGCCCCACAAAATACCAAGCTGTACAACTGTAACATATGCAGAGTGTCTGGGTCAGCCTCCTGCAGGCTCCTTGATTGTTGGTTCGGGCTCCTTGAGTCCTCATAAGACCATATTAGTCAGTTCTGTGTGTTTTCTTGACTCCTCTGGCTCCAACAATCTTCCCTCTCCCCCTTCCACAAGCTTCTCCAAGCACAGACTAATGTTTCGCTGTGGGTCTCTGCATCTGTTTTCATCGGTTGATGGATGAAACCTCTCTGATGACAATTTTGCTAGGCATCAACCTAAGAGTGTAGTAAAATATCATTAGAAATCATTTCATTGACTGGTTTTTTTGCCAGTAAAGTATGGTTCTATCCCAGATCTCGGAGCTATCCAGCTCCTGGGGCTATCCCTCCAGGGAGTCAAAGACCTGAAGTTTTTAG